GTCAATTTGGTTAATAACCAAAAAAAATTTAAACATAATAGTTAACCAAAAATTCTAAAACTAATGGCTAGGATTAGTACCACACAAGAAAGTTTGCTTAGTAATTAATATCGAATTAGCGTCGGATATTAACTATACTGATGCTAAATCGACGCTAAATGAAAGATGGTTATATTTGCCAATTTTTCAATGAATGAAAAAAAGGAAATTATTAATATTTAAGGGCCTTGTTAAAGCCCATGTTTAATTGCTTTAGCCCAAATCCAGAACACAACGAAGAAAACAGAAACTCCAAGCGATTCTCTCTCGTCGCCGAACACTTTCCTCTGCGTCGCCGGAACTTTGTCGACGGTAAGTCTCTTACCTTTAAGCCTGTGTTCGAGCGATCTCGTTTCTTCGGTGATGCGATTTTCTACCATATTCCATTGCCAATTCAATTTTTTGAAAAAAAATTCGATACGTTTAGCTAAGGGCAAGTTTTTTTTTCCCCTTACGAATCGCCGTATTTGTATCCTCGCTTCCTCTCTTTTCTGAAATTCAACTGGGTTAAAGTGGTTTATGCTTTGTCTTAATGGATTCATTCTAAATTTCTATAGAGATTTCGCAATAAGTTAGTAAGTATTGTTAAGCTTTTTAGAGTGAGAAGATGGTATAAAACGACCCAATCTTGTGAAGATTGGACTGTAGTATTTTGTTTTGGTTGGAATATTGTGTACCATTTTTGAGAATCTTGATTGATTTTTTAGGAATTGACTACTATCAATTTTGTGTCATTTTGGATCTAAGATGTATTGTTTTGATAGATAGTTGAAGGTTTTAGAAGAATGGATATAATCTCACAGTTGCAAGAACAAGTGAATTCGATTGCTGCTATCACTTTCAATGCTTTTGGGACACTGCAAAGGGATGCCCCTCCGGTCCAGCTTTCGCCTAATTATCCTGAACCAGCCGCTACAACTACGGCTACTGATGATGCTACTCCTTTTCCAGAGCAACCTAAGCAGCTCAGTGCTGGTTTAGTTAAGGCTGCTAAACAGGTATTGCATTTTCATCTAACCGGCGTCTTGACCATATCCTTTTCTATACTGTTATCTTTATGGTATTGTTTCACCGTAAACAAATGTATAGTTTTAGTACCTGGATCATCTTTAGCTCAATAGTTTCGAACGTGAAGTGAACTTTGACGTCGTACCTTTTCTTGGGTGAAGTTTGATGCTTTGGTTGCGGCACTTCCCTTGTCAGAAGGAGGTGAAGAAGCTCAGTTGAAAAGAATCGCCGAACTCCAGGTAACTAAGTCATCAATATATATTGGTTTCCTGGTTTCGATACTCCTTCATTCGGTTATTTGCATTCATCTAACGGCTTTGCATGTTCCCTTCTCTACTGTTTTCCTTCAGGTGGAAAATTATATTATTGGTCAAGAACTCCAAAAGCAGTTAGAGGCTGCAGGTAACATTTCCTGGCCAATGTCACCCACTTTAGCTTTTTGTTTACGACTTCAGTGTCCAATGTGTATAATTCCTCGCTGCTACATCATGCTAGGATTTAGATGTTACCTAAGCATTGCAGGGAGTTCTCTTTAGTTGTCCTAGTTTTGAATATTTTCATTTTCTTGCAAATGCTTCTGATATTGAGTTGGTTTTAAAGTGGTGTATCTTTTTTTGTTGACAGAAAAGGAGCTTAAGCAAGTCCAAGAGCTATTTGGACAAGCTGCAGACAATTGCCTGAACATGAAAAAACCCGAATGAAATTCTTAACTTTTATGATTCGGAACCTTTTATGATTTTGTTCAGCAACAATTATGTTTAGGTTCAGAAGGAATTAGAAGTTTTGATTTGGTTAAGCGAAATTTTTCTTTGCAGAATCAATTACAAGAATGTTTGTTAGCTCACCACAACAAAACCATAACTTAACATTACACTTCTCTTAGACCTATCGAATTACAACCTCAAAGGATCCATGTCTGATCCTCGGGGTCAAGGTTGCTCTATGATCTCCTGTATCTGTTGCATTCAATCCAAGTTGCTGAAAACAAATGATCAGTCCATTCCAAAATCGCAAACTGACTGGATTCAAGCATTTGCAGACAGTAGAGTCAAGGTTTATCTTGTGTGGTTGCAAATTACTCTAACCGGTTAGTCTTAACTCTTAGCCCTTTTCCTCTCACCTGTCAAGACTTGAGCACAGTCCAGTCATGTGGCAATGAAACCTGAGATCTTCTGTACAAAATCACAACCAACCGATCTTTCCCCTACTTTGTTGGGGAAACAGTCGTTCTCTGTTTTGATTTCTTCTTTTTGGGTGTTCGAGAATAAGAATATACAATCTGGCTTTCGGCGATGATATGTTTAACATCTTCATCATCTTTTGGAATTTTTGATACCAGCTTCTTGGCACCTTCTGTATCCCCTGAAGCCAGTAGAACCTGATACATCCTGTGAAACCATAAACCAGAATCAATGATATACCAGAAACCTTAAAACTTCTTAAGCTGCATTCTCTTGAAGCTAGTGCAACCCGTAAACTGAAACACTAGTGTTAAACATGGAAGTAAAAGATCTATCTTGTGTTCCGTAGTTTCTGCACAAATTTTCGTTTTGGTCCCCACACATCTTAAGTTTGAGAGAAAAGGAAACCAATTACGAATCTAGAGGGAGAAACAAGAGTGGCTTGCCTCAGAAAGCTTAGGACGTTGCAAGGAAGTGCTGCAGATTGGTACTCTTTCCACACCAATAGACCGATATCCATGTCCTTGGCATTGACACAAGCGTGTAAGAGAAAATCTAGGCATTTTCTTGAAGGAACAAACCCAAGCTCCTCTTTCATAAATCTTAGTAAATCCTTCCCTAGCTTCACATCACTTGGCTCTGTCTCTGCGATCGCCCAGAACACCTAATCCAAAACAGTACATCACTAAGAGGTTTAAAGTACTGAAGACCAATTCAGTAAAAGAGAAGCTAGCTACAGACTCAAACTTGATCGTTATTAATCACTAAATGATCTTGCTTCAGTGCTTTACTTCAAACTTCACTGGTAATCCAAAAAATATTTCCTTGAATTCTCAGAAGATGAAGTAAGATCTATTCTGTGAGAGATCTTACTTCTGAGACATCTTGAGGTTATCAAAGATGACTAAATGAGCAAGTTTCCGAAAACATATGAGTGAAACAGAATCAGACCTCGTCAAAATGATATTCCGCATGGATGTTAACCTTGGACAACCTGACCTTGTTCTGCTTCAGCAAATCAAGAATACTGCTAAAACAAAAGGAGCAAATGAGACATTCAACAATGGGTGTAAAACATGAACTAAATATAGAGAATGGGTGATCTACTGTACCTTGACTTTTTATTGCGGACAGCGAACAAGATCATTCTGAAGAAACCATCTATCCAACTAGTATCATCTTGCAGGTCATCAGCCAATTGAACCAGCGTACTTAAATCTCCCTTTGAATCAGAATATTCCTACAGAGATGATCATATTACTAATTGGTTAGTCAATGAATGATTTAAAAAAAAAAAAACAGTGTGATTGGAAGTGTATACTTACTATAAGAGATATAATCGATTTTGGATCTACGTGGCATTCGGCTTTCTTCATTTCTTCATATATACTTAAGGCATCTGCCCTTCTACCATGTGATGCAAGAGCCGAAATAAGCACACTTTTCAGCTCATCTTGGTTTCTAGCCGGAACATCTGGGTCTAACAACACCTATGGTAGAATTAACAATTTGAACTCTTACTCGAATCACATATTCTGCATTCGAGATCTTACAAAGAAAGAAATTTTTTGCATGCTTACCTGTTTTGCCTTCTCAAACTGCCCAGATGCTGCATATGCATCTATCAGGGACATGTAAACTCGCTTAGTAGCTTGAACTCCTGCTTGCTTCATCTCCGTGTAGTACTTATAAAAGACACATATATATTTCTCACTCACAACACTATACACGACTCCAAGTTAAGAAGAACAGGTAGAGGAAAGATCCGGAGAGCAGAAATTCTGAATTTTACCTTAGTAATAGCATCCTCCCGGCTACAGTTGTTTATTAGATAGCCAAAAGTTATGGAATCAGGTTTAACGCCAGCATCCTTCATTTGCTCGACGACCATTAACGCGCTGCTCACATTTTTCTTAGAAAACATACAAAAAACGTCAGCTGAAAACGATATACGAGACGTTGGGGAGCTCACAAAAAAATGAACAATATATCAGGTCAGACTGGGGCTTAAGATATTACCTCCCGAAAATATCCAGCCAATATACAATTGAACATGCTAGAATTTGGTTCCAAATTGAAGTTCTTCAAATTACCAAGCATATTATATGCACCTTCAAACTGTACATACAACCAAAAGATTCAGAGCAAAATATTATGTTTCGAAACAAACGAAGCAATAATTGTAAGAAACAGCACGGACATGTCCTCATTTGTAATATAGGGTTTGAGGATATACTGAAGCTGAAATAAGTAGAAAGAAAGTTACATCTCTGATTCTAGTGCACAAACGTATAATGCTCCGGAAGTTCTCACTATTTGGTTTCACACTCTTYGTGCACATGATTGAATGGATTCTTCGCACCTGAAACAGTAAAATTATGAGGAAACTCTGAAACTCCATTTAAAATATGAACAGATCTATGAGGAAGACGATGATGATGATCTCTCAAGAGCAATCAATGAACAATCATTTTAGCTCTTCTATGTGATGTAAAAAAAGATGATGAAGTTAAGAGTCACGAAAGCAGTTGAAAGGAAAGCTCATTTCCTCAGCACTCAGTAGCTTGCCGTATATGGATTCAAGCTCAATGAGTGAGAATGCATACCAAATTAAACTCAAGAACTTCATCAACAGCATGTAACACTGAACGAAGAATATCTGCCGATATTATGAGATCCGCTTCCCCCATTTTTTCAACTACATCAAGAGCAGTGACTACCTACAACATGGAGGGA